TCTTCTTGCAGGGTGTGGTTTGTAATTGCAACCTGGTAAATCCAGACTTCCATAATAAAGACTGACACATAATGTTACCAGTCTCATGAACATTGGAAGCTGTTGATCAGTCAGTGATATGTCCACAGATTCACAATAAACATTAAGTTTTGTTTCAAGTGGTCTCAAGAGGCTGTCATACTTCAAAAGCATTCGACAACTCAAGCCACACTTGTACAACAGCGGGTCTTGGTAAAGTTCAATTTTCCCGCTGGAAGTTCTCTTATCAAGACAAACTGTTAGATCAGAGATATTGCAAACTTTCTGGAGCAAAAAATCTGGAGCTACTACATCAACAAAAGCTTTCTCCCAGTTGCTATTGACGCTGAACGTTTCCGCAGACTTGATGTTGAGTGACAACACAATATCATCCTCAAGGTATTTTACGATAACATTGTGGACATGAATTGAGACATTGTTTATGACTCGATTAACAAGACTCTGAACATATCCAGAAGGTGGAGCTTCTTCTTTACCCCCTAACGCATTCTCCAGGCCTTCATTTTGTGTTTCACCAGTTGTTTGTGATTCTGAGACTGTATTTGATGTGTCACCAGGACTATGATCTGGATATCGCAATTGTACAATACACTCTAATGTGTTGATTGTAATCTCTACTGGCTCTGAACCAAGTTTTGTCCATGGTATGTGAATCTGAAGCTTATGAATCTTTCCACTTAGAAAAGTTATGGGCAGCATTAATTCCTGGAAGATAATCATAGATGATTACAATGTAAGAAAAGATCTATCAATACAGATCAAAATGAATTTACGGCAAAAAGCAATAACAATCCAGAATTTAAAAGGACACAGTCAGCTGATGCACATGCACATTAGATACCATTTCTTATCTGATTTGCATGTCACAAGACACGCACGTGAAACAGAAAGTGAGAAGCATATCCGGAATACTCTAAACAAACCTTGTAGAGTTGAACTAGTTACAAGCCCAAATCATGATTATAGACCCTAAGCCACATCAGAGCACACATTTTTTATATACCATTGAGAATTCACCGATGGATTTGTCCAGGAAAAGCCAAACATCGACAAATACTTTTGAATTTGATCATCAGTAGAGGTAAGAAATGACATGGAGTCGGCATGAATCATTGTCAAAGGTTCAAGGTCGAGAAAGCTTGATTTTCCAAACATATGTAACCTTTTCCATCGATTTTCCAAATACCTATAACCATTATTTGCTCGCCAATGATATTGATTCATTTCTTTTGTTATTTTGGTAAACGAAAGCAATTTCTCCCACCCGGCGCCTACACATTTCTCACCTCTTCTGTTCACATTCTTTTGGATACTGTTTTTAACCAAATATGATAAAATAATGTCATAGGATGAGTTACAGTTTGCTCAAAAAGAGGATTTCTGTAAAAGATCGAGGATCGAATAAAACACTAGGCAAGATTGAAGCGGATTTCTACATGTAGCCAACGCGTTCATTTGATTTTGGGTTGAGGTAAACTGTTTTCAAACTGACAAAAGTAGTGTCCAGGTCAGCAGTTCCCATAGCTGACTGTGTCCCTTTAACATGTGAAAGATCATAGGTGCATTTCATGATGATGCAGATCAAGATCGGTGATCCGAGATCACTGAGACCATGGCACATCAAAGGAAGTGACAAAAGCACCCTGGGAAAAGATTCGTCAATACATTTGATATACCATGATCCAAGTGACCTCTAGTCGGCGACGGCCCAATGGCCCAGCGACCCACGTCTCACGGCCCGCGATGACCCTGTGGGACGTGGGCTGCCCGGCCATTGGGCCCAGTTTTTTTGTCCAGCGGTAAATCCACGCGCATGCACAGATCTGCATCGCGTTAGGGTGCGCAAATTGGACGACGGTGAGTTTGAATGTTTTTATCATTTAATCATTTGAATCCTTGTTTCTGTTTGTTGCATGTTGTTCGGATAAAAATGTATACTTTAGAGAACTTTCATTATCGACAATGTAAGTTATTTTCAAACCACTCTTTGAAAGAGAAAACATCATAAGTAATGAGATATGTGAACTGCGAATCTTTTTCTATACAGAGACATGTCGGTCTATTTACAGGAACCCCACCCCACAAGGAGAGCAGGGCAGAGTTTTTCAAACTGTGGTTTGAAAATAACTTAGATCGTTTGAAAATGTACTTTCTCTCTATCGGGTTCTGTAAACAGACAAATAAACAGAGAATGACAACATTTTTCACTTAGCAACATGCAACGAAAGAAAGGGTCAAAATGGATTGAAATGATTATTAAAATGGTAAACGAATTCAAACTCACCCTCATCCATTTTGCATGCCCAAACCCGATGCAGATCTGTGCATGCACGCGGATTTACCACCACAGGCGGCCCAAACTCACGTTGCGAGGGAAGGGTGAAATGTAATTTACATAACATAGGTGACGCGCTGGTGTCGCGTTACAGGCGACCGTTGAAAATATATGAGACTTTGTATGAGAAATACATTACTGAGATCTGCGCGCGCTAAATAACGCAGAACCTTACTTTTTCTCAAATGAATTGAATAAAAAAGACTTAGCTGCAATGTATTCCACTGCGTTTTGGTGTCTGTTTGTCGTTTTACTGTTTTTTTGGCTTTATTGCGTAACCACTGTTACTCCTTTTATAAAACGAAGTGAAGGCTGGTCACTTCGATCTGTCGGGGCCTGGACCAGTCGCAACAAGAATGCCGTTTTTTTCGCCGAAATTCAAATCCGCTGCAAATTTTTCAGCTCTGGCCTAAGAGGGAAACCTCTTCTTCCTGTCTGGGAGATCGGCTCGAAAAAAGATCCATAATTTCCCCATTAAATCGAGCCATTTGTGCCGGACTTTGAGGCACGTCTGGCTTTTGTCCAGTACCTGTGACCACTGTTGCGCCTACTAACTAATTTGCATTATGACAATTAGCACTTACACGACGGGTGCAAGCACTCGCTTTTTCACAGTGCAAGAGCCTAGTTGACGTGTCATTTCCGCCCTGTCACCCGTCGTGTAAGTGCTAATTGTCATAATCTAAATTAGTTAGTAGGCGCAACAGTGGTCACAGGTACTGGACGAAAGCCAGACGTGCCTCGAAGTCCGGCACAAATGGCTCGATTTAATGGGGAAATTATGGATCTTTTTTCGAGCCGATCTCCCAGACAGGAAGAAGAGGTTTCCCTCTTAGGCCAGAGCTGAAAAATTTGCAGCGGATTTGGATTTCGGCGGAAAAAACGGCATTCTTGTTGCGACTGGTCCAGGCCCTGACAGATCGAAGTGACCAGCCTTCACTTCGTTCTATGAAAGGAGTAACAGTGGTTACGCAATAAAGCCAAAAAAAACATTAAAACGACAAACATACACCAAAACGCAGTGGAATACAGTGCAGGTAAGTCTTTTTTATTCAATTCATTTAAGAAAAAGTAAGGTTTTGCGTTATTTAGCGTGCGCAGATCTCAGTAATATATTTCTCATACAAAGTCTCTTATATTTTCAACGGTCGCCTGTAACGCGACACCGGCGCATCACCTATGTTATGTAAATTACATTACACCCTTCCCTCGCAACGTGAGTTTGGGCCGCCTGTGTTACCACTGGACAAAAATACTGTGGAAAATCAGGACTGGACCTGCGGGCTGCTGGGCCGCTCTAGGCCGCCAGGCCGTCACGGGCTGTGGGCCGCAAGCCGCTGGGCCTTCCGGCCGCCGGGCCACTGCGGGCCATGGGCCGCGGGCCACGAGCCTACTTTTAGCAAAACCCAGTCACTGATCCGGATTCCTGCAGACAATTAAGTAAAATAATAATGAAAAATAACTACGCAGAAATGTCTCAACCACTGCTCTCTTGAAAGTCGACAGACATGTATATCTCGTGACTTTTACTCAAAACCCCCCCACTCTTCAAAGCTCAACTTGTTTCTGTTGTAGGGCAACACGTTGTTAACATTTGAGAACGTCGCAAAAGTTGTCCAACAAAATATTTTTAAAAAGCGGTATTTTTCTTACCTTTTCTAGCACATCAAGCCTTAGCTCCAAGTTGTAAAGAACAACATCTCCGCCCCAAAGTGACAAACTGAGGTCTGAAGGCTTTAGATTCTTGATGTACTTGTCGACATAGCTCATCAACAGCGGAGTGATGTAACTTTCAAGCATGCTTTAAAACTCAAATCGACACCTGCGCCTTCAGATATGTTTAGGAAAGTTCGTCAGTAGCGGAAATAAACCTTTCCTTTTGTAAACAAAACAATGCACTGCTTCCAGTATAAAGGTCTAGAGTCCAGTATGCAAACATCCTCGTCGATCGTTCCGACATCCAAGACGTGTTTGCTTTAGCTGGTTACATTATGGACAACTCTTAAACACGAAGAACGTCCCAGCACGTCCAGGTATCGCAATGATTATCAAAACGTTAACATCTGATCGTTTACAAATTCTAAATCTACCAAGGAGGAACAACTTCGTCGAAATTTATTTCGTTTCTTAAACTTTCCACCAGGCAACCTTGGATAAAACAAGGAATCTCATTGGTCAAATTAGAACAAACCAATCAATATCACTTTTACATGGATAGCCACGCTGGCAAATTGTTTCCCCGTGAGCTCGCTGGGCCGTGAAAAAAAAAAATTTCATTTTTGCTGTTAGTTTAACTGAAAATGTAGACCTACTCTTTAGGTGTTTTGAATTAAAAAATGATGGAATAAATCTCATTTCACAAGTATCACTAAAGGTATCTTGCTAAAAAAAAATTGCAACACCCATTCATTAAAACCCTCCCCTCCTTAGGTTTAATTTGTTCGCTTCCCACAATTCAACTAGAGGAGAATTGGCGGGAATAGTAAATCCCTCGGCGTCCAGTTCGTGGTTTTCATTTTGCACAATATGTAAAAGTTTCCCGTGTAGTGTCTTATTTTTCCCCTCAAAATCGTCAGTTTTTCGCGGAATTTATAGAACTTTTTGATAATTGCTTTACGTAAAGAAGATGGCAATGGAAGAGTGCCGCACTGAAGCGAGTATTGGCGTAGAATACTCCGAAAGCATACACGGCTCATCCGAAGACGAAAACACGAATTCCGCATCCATCAAGACGCCCGCACAAGCCGAAGGTTGCTCGCCGTCTCAGAAGAGAAAACGAAAGCGAATTTCACCGCATTCGACGCCTAAAGTTGCAGACGGTAAGGTCCAAGACGCTACTGCTAAGAACAAAAGCATGCAAACTTTATTACACATGTACATTAGCGTTTTAACAAAAGCTACATTTGCCTTCGATACGCGACGAGGATAAACTTGTGTTGTTGCAGTTTAATATTTGTTTATAAGAGTTTATGTATATGGTAATGTATGTATCAGACCAGTGTTCAAATAAACTTTCGAATAGAGCGAAGGTCTAATAATTACCAGATCACCTTTTTACTTTGGTCGAATTGTAAATAGTTGACAGTTCAGAGTAAACTGTTTAAATAGCCCCTTTGCAATGTACAAATATCTTGGACTTGCCCTTTTCGGTGGTAGGTTTTAGATACTAATTTCCCCTTTAATAGTTCTCTCAGTTTCATTACATATGCATCCGCAAATTGGGACTTAATAGACCCTAATACGGTTGGGTGTGGAAGATGCAGGGGGAGGGTCTAGCCTGTTGACTGATTGGGCAGAATTGTCAGACATGGGGCCTGTCTCAAACACTGAGTGACAGTCAGCAATATTGATGATGATGATGATGATAGTGATGATTCTTGGGACAGGGGAAAGGCCGAAAAGGCAGAAGGAGCCTCCATCACCGGTCTTATCCTGTGATAACAACTAGTTGTCGCAGAGCTATGATCACTTCTGTGTTTGCATTCCTTGTGATCTAATCATTCACCATGATAACAGAAAATGTGCAAGATTTATCGAAAACCTGAAAGAGTGGTCATTATAGTTTAAAGGTAGCGAGATATAGAAAAGGACTGACTCAAAGAACACAAATCAGTGTCAATATTCCTTGCCATGGGCTTTATGTTGTAAAGGCATGTGTTGTCTCGGAAGAAGTTTGCCAGTGGTAGCATGTATTGAAACCAGGATGTAAACTTTCAGTGTCCAGACCAGCAGGCCGTGGAGCACAATGACTCAGAAAACTAAATCTTTACTTTATTGTGAATTAATGCATTTTCTGATTTTTTGAACAGGATTTGGAGATAGCAAAGCAGGGGAACTTCTGGAAAATATCCCTGAACTGCAAGACGTGTTCACAATAGTGTCCAAAGTTGGAGAAGGTAAGCTTATGGGGAAACTGTATTTAATTTACTAACCCTACCACCATTTATTGTACTCCTACTCTGCAAGCAGAGCCTCTTTTTATTATCTTGGCTGAGTAGGAGAAAAGAAGGCTGTTCCTGAATCACAGCAAATGCAAAGTCGTCATTGCCTGAACTTCTTGATTAGTCAATCTTGTTCCCTATCATGAAACTAGTTGTTTGAGTGTAGCATCCATTTATTGATAAACCGACAGTCACCAGGGTTTGCATGCACCTTGAAAGTCCTTGAAAATTATAGTTGGCACTGGAAAGTCCTTGAATTTCAGTGCTAACTTTATCCAACCCAGCAAACACACGAAAGACCTTCAGGATAATATTGGTCATAATAATTGTGAAAGAGGTAAAAAAGATGTAGACTCAAGGCTTCTTTTTAGCACTGAACGGAGTCCTTGAATAATGGGAAATGTGTCCTTGAAAGTCCTTGAAAGGTCCTTGAATTTAATCCTCATAACTATTGTACGGAGTTTTACAAATAGTCTTTCACGCACTAGTCTTTATTTTAGCCTTAAGACAAGTTTCGTTTATTCAAACCTCTTCAGTTTGGCTAAAACCTTGGCTAAAACCTTGTCCTTGAATTTTTTGTTCAAAAAAGGGTATGAACCCTGAGTCATGCTCTACTAAAGCCCAAGGCTGCTAGGCCTGGGTTTGAAACTGTATCCCATCATCAAGCAGCACATGCTCTACAAGGATTGTATTGATTCATGCACAGTCTTTTTAAAGTATGCTTAAATTGAGCAAGGGAAAGAAAGATTTCCTAGCATGGTACGCTTCTACATTCCACGGCAAGCACTGGCATTGCTCATCGCTCTATTGCGTCTATGGATACAAATGTTTAGCTATATATTTTTGTCTTTGCCTCATGTGAAGTGCTGTCCCATCCTCCCACCTACACTAGCTAATGGTTTCTATCTGGTACAGTAGGTCTCTTTAGGTTAAACATGTATCTCGTTTGAGTATCCTCAGTATGAGAGGTCCCATATAAGTGGGGTTATCTACTACCCATGTTATATAAGGCTGCTATTGGTTACCTCCCCATCTGGGTCTGCTTACTTTGCTTGGCCGGCTTTACCTGTGTTGCTCATTGATAGTACATACCATGCTTGTCTCCTTTGCATATTGGACTATATCGGAAATTTATACTGTGAATTATATTACAGTGTAATTACATCAACAATCAATATTAGAAACAAATGCCTCTAATAATCACTCTCTGGTTTCCTTTGCAGGTACTTTTAGCAATGTTTACTTGGCTAGAATGAATACATTACCAGATGTTCTGTGTGCTTTAAAGCACATTATTCCAACTAGCGGTCCTGGAAGAGTTCAAAATGAATTGAAATGTCTTCAAGATATTGGGTAAGGTACATTGACAGTCCTGGGTAATCAATCTCAAGTTAAATCACTATAATTTTAACATAGTTTGATTCAGAATTTCCATTGTTCCTTATCCTAATTTATTCAAAGGAGACAAAGGAAACTCTAGTTAAACCTCAGAACAGAATTTGATTTTACCTAAAACAGGTATATCAGTTTGACAGTTCAAGGCTCTTCCTCAGTGTACTCTTAAAGGCTTAATCTTATTGGTTTTCTCCACACGAGTGCTGCAAAGAAAACTTGCACAAACTGTCTGATATCTAAAAAAATATATTACTGATGGGTCACCTTGTGATTAGCTTTGGAGTTGTTGCTTCAGCCCAGAGCCGAAAAGATTGAAGCCTAGCCTTGAAATCAGGGGCACCAAACAATGATTTCCCCCTAAGTCTGTTGAAAACACTTTTTAGGCTATCCAGAGTAGTTTTAGAACTCTAGAAAATACATTCTAAAGGGCGCTATAAAATTTGTATCTGTTCAGTTATCCTAGGGTTATCAAAATTACAAGGGCTTCAGAATTATTTTCCCAAAAATTTTAGATGCAATTTATCCTTTTATGAAAGTGAGAATTTTTCTGATTGCTCTCTCAATCACATTTTTGAATCCAAAAATTTTAGGTTTCCTTTTTCTTTGAAAAACAGCGTCACTTGGGGAGTGAAATGTGGAATATTGAGCCTCAGAAAATCGTAGGGAAATTATTACATATGTCTTGAAAAATGTGCATGAATGGAACAGTCATGTAGAAATTTGTAGCCTCAAGCAATAGAAAATTTGAGGCAGTATTTGCTTCTCCAAACAGTTGCATTATTCTACAGAAAACAGTCGTTGGGTGCCCCTGTTGAAATATCAAGTGTCGCAGTGATCTTTCCGTGAAGACAGGTTCAAGAGTAACAAGCACCTAAGAGGTATAAACCTGTACAATGTACTGGTTACCTGGTGGTAGCTGAGAGGACATTTTCTCTGGAAATTAGAGACATTACACAAGTCATTACATGTACTTCCATTGCCTGTGGTATTTTACATGTAGAAAGTTATAATTCTGATTCATTATGTTGTTATTTTTAGGGGCACTGACAATGTTATTGGAGTTGAATCAACTCTTAGATGCAATGATAGTATGGTATTTGTCCTGCCTTATTTTCCCCATCAAAAATTTCAGGTAATTGTAATAATTGACATGAGTTGCTGCAACTGATTAGTGGCAGCCAAAACATAATAAATTTTCACCTGCCTCCACTGAAGTTTTATGAGATTACATTCATTATTGCCTATTAATTCCCATATGTCACCATTCAAATTTCTCGTTCCATTTTATGGTTGCCCAGTAATCTTGTCATCATCACATCATTGTTTCTCGATAATGATGGCAAAATGGATAAGATGTTCAACTCTGGCATCAGTAAAACCACTCTTTATTGAAGTTTGCCTCTCTATAGTATAGCTATTAAAGAAATATTAATTTTATTACTTGCTTTGTCAGGAATACTTCTTGGAAATGAGCGTCTGTGAAATCAAAGAATACATGAAGAACCTTTTTATTGCCTTAAAAAGAGTACATTCGTTCAATGTAATCCACAGAGATGTAAAACCAAGCAATTTTTTGTACTCCAGAGAAACAGGAAGGTGAGCTTCCCACATGTACATGGATGTCTTCTGTGGTTCAATAGTTGTTGTTATAGAATTTCACTCAACTAAACAGGGACTGCCATTGGTTGATTCTTGGTCACGTGGCCTTCACTAAAATCAAACGTATCGCGATGGTGATACATTAAGCAATGTACCCTGCTCGGGCTACATTACAGCACGTGATCAAAGCATGGTTGAAAGTGGTGTGACAGAAGGCGGGAAAAACACTGCCAATTTTCTCTTTTGTGAATGAACACAAACACGAAGCCTCGAGCTAAAAAGCAACGATTTTTAAAGTCATCCCAGAAGAGAAACAGCAGCTAGTGGAAAAAAAAAGATGCAGATAATATTAGGAAAGTACTTTGTAAATCATTCATTTGGTGGTTTTAAAAATTAAATTTGTGTTGTTATAAGTACGTAGTTGACTGTTTTGGTTCGCTCCAGTTATTCTTTTGATGCTGTTGAAGTGAAAGGCTAGATATATAACAAAACACTTAATGTCAGGTCCCTCGGGAAACCAGTTAGTTTTGTTTTCCCTCGAGTCCTGATGTTTCCGAGACAAAGTCGAGGGAAACATCAGGACTCTTGGGAAAACAAAACTAACTGTTTCCCTCGGGATCTGACATTAAGTGTGTATTATACCATTTGTCTTCAAAATAGGCTGCAGAGGTTAAAGTAAGATGCAGCATCAGAAAAAAACATTTAGTTGTCATGAAGTAGAGTTTATTATTTGAGCTCATGCCTGACTGCCCTTTTCCAGACAACACAATGAGATTCCTCAACTGATTGATTGATTGATTGATTTTAATTTGATTTAGATACCGACTTGTAGATTTTGGTCTTGCCATGAAAGTCCCTGGCAGCAACAATTCTCTTCTTGGTGAGTTTATAGTCATTCATCGCATTTATTTAGATGTAAAAGGGCTTGCATTGCTCACTGAATTCCAAAATGCTTTCCATCACTCATCGCCCCTGTGATCCTTGATTAGCATATTGCTTGTTTGCCTTAAAAGGTAACTTTGATACACATCACCTGAAGAAAATGAAATATAAAAAGCACTCCCAGATGGGGGTACTTCCAGCAAAAAATCACTATACTGAGCTAGACATTGTTAATACATGCACAACCCCCCCCCCCACTCCCCCACCACCACCACCACCATCATCCATAACCACATTTTGCTAAGAGGTGTTACAAGTCAATTGCAAACATCATCATGAAACATTTTGTACAAAAGTAAATGGTAGTGAAAGTCCTGATAAAGATAAAGCCTCTTTCTGCACATTGTACTATAATAAGTATTATTAATTCTAGTTTATGAGGAAATTAAGAGCTAATATAAGAAAGTGCTAAGAGCAAAAACAAACGGGGAAGAGACACAGATAAAAGTTAGACTTGGTTTATCCAATTTATGTTGTTTTTTGGACAGAGTGGGCAGAAAATACATGTAGCTTTTATTAGTAACTTTTAACAGCACTATTGTAAAAGATCCATAACATAACTTTATTATTTATATAGCGCAAAATACATGGGTATATGATCTAATGCCCATGACATGCACCTCCCTGATTCTCTTTAATAGGCAATGTTACAGTGCAAGTGATTAACACAACTTATATTTGAACTCTTACATGTATTCCAGATTCTCCTAAGGAACTGAAGAAACAAAAAAGGACCCTACAATCTCCTAAAACTACTTCCCAACCTAGACGTCGAAGCTCACGCTTGTCTCCTCAAAATGAAAATAAAGACCAGACGGGAGGCAAAGTTGGTGAAGAACGCATCCTCAAGCCGCGTTGTGTAAACTCAGCTAATTGGCAATTCACACACCAATCCAAGGACTTTAAAGTCCCTTCAAAGACTGCAACATCAAAGTTAAGGCGCACCTCTGATGAGAAGGCAAACTCTAAAGATGCATTTAAACAGGCCCAGGTATTGTGTCCGCTGAGACATGGTCCTAAAGATGTGTGCACCATCTGTATGGCAAGGTAGGCTGTGATAACCTTGTCTCTCTTAGGCAAACTCACATTAGAGATCGAGCTTTAGATTAGAGGACAACCACGAGTACGAGGTTTGACTCAAATAGATACCTGGGAAAGCTTCATACTACTTTTGATTCACCAGAAAAGTTAGCACTGTCATCTTTATTAAAGGAGATCAAGCCCTCTCCCAATCGCAAATTGATAAAACTTGTAACATTTTGTTAACTCATTTTCGCGCCAAAATGATGCTGGCTTAAGCAGCTGCTTGAGCAATACGCAATATTGAGAAATTCTTGTTCATGTAGTTATTCTCGTCATAGAATCTAAAGGTCTCTGCTGTCAGTTTTTGTATAATTCTGCCTAAATGACGGGTTTGTGCTCTAATGTGGAGGGCAGGTGGATCAAAGTTTGTGCACTAACTTGTATGCTGGGCACCCTGAACCTTTATCATAGGTTCAACGCTCTACACAGCGAGCACTACACGATATTCTCTCTTTTTGCTTTTGCTTGAATCGTAATGGTCTCCCTACATCTTATAAACTCTGGACAAAACATTTTGTTTAAAAACACACAATGTTATTGCTATAACAACAAATACTTTAGACAGTTCATTGTTGTTATTGAAGTGACCCAGATAACAGCTTTAAGATTCATTAATTTTAATCAAGTAAAAGAATGATGTAATTTGTCCTATCTATTTCGTTTATTTTTTCTGCAGAATTTACTTATTTATATACCACAAGAGGTGACCCCTTCTAGCTTCAGGTTGTGGGAATCCATTCTCAGCAGTTGCCATTGTTTTTATCTAAAATAAATCTGTTCGCACCTGCCCTTGAACAGCTTTTTATCAGATTAAAGTGCAGGGGCATTAAAAATATTTCTTCATTCTAAGTGTACAAAAAAGTTGTTACCCATAACCACATTGTTCTTGTTGTTCCTTTTGATGTCATGTACATAATTGATGTTTTGTTTCTTAATTTTATCCAGGGGCCATCAGAATACTCCTCGAGCAGGCACACCAGGATTTCGGTCCCCAGAGGTCCTTCTCAAGTACCCTCAGCAGTCTCCTGCTGTGGACATGTGGTCAGCAGGAGTCATCTTTCTCTCTATACTCAGTGGAAGGTACCCATTCTTTAAAGCTTATGATGACCTGACAAGCTTGGCTCAAATCATGACTCTGTGTGGAACTGGTGAGGCAGCTAAAGCAGCTTTCAAGTTAGGTAAGCTTCATAAATCTTACCCTTTTACGAGGCTAAGTTCTAGAAACAAATTTAGAAGCCCAAAAGATTGGAACTCTCAAAATCCAGCGGGTGCTTTGTGGTGAAAGTAACTGGCCAAGGGTCACTGGAGGTGCTAGAAAACTGCCCTGTTCTTTCTTTTACCATCGAGAACGTTCAAGTTTAAAATACACAATTATGAATTTACTTTTTTCTTAACATAGTTTTAACTTTATTTCGAAAGGTAAATCGATTCAACTGGAAAAGAACGCACTTTTCTATAAGACAGGTGCAAATTAAAATTATTAAAACCCATAATTGACTAAAATCAGGGTTAAAAAAAAATCATCTGTAGGCACTCTTCCGCCTCCAGCAACGCGTATAAAATCGACCGATCCGTGCACTGATTTTATGGTTTTAACTCTATGAATGAATGGAAACATCCTTAATAAATAGTTGTCCGGGAATGGTTTTTCGTCGGTATGGTAAGATTTTCTCCGTGTCTTCGCATACAAAGCAAGGAAAGCTTTTTAGGTATTTATAAACGGCGGATTAACAGTTTTTACCCGGACTGTTTACGCAGCCAAATGTAATAAACGTCAAATCCAACCCTTTTAAAAAAAATACAGGGCGTGGACGAGATGACTTTTGGGCCTCTTTCCCAATTACCATAATGTGGTATGAAATGATAAATATATGAATTTTATAAAAATTATTTTGGAACCGCTAATTGAAGAAATAAATGGAAAGAAGATCATCGCAGTTAATGACGCAACTTATGCAGTTGCGAAAAGAAAGCCTGAAAAAATCCAGGCTTGCTGGGATTCCAACCCTGACCTCTGCGATAACGGTGCAGCGCTGGTATGTGGTGTATCGATATTTTCCATGAACTCCAGGTAAAGTTTGTTTTATTTTGTTTTTGTCCGCATACTGCACATGTGTTGTGGCAATCTTCTAATAATTTACTTGCACCTTACCTTTCACAGGCAAGGACCTCAATTTTAACGCAGATTGCCCATCTGGAAATCTTAAAATACTTTGCACAAAGCTAAGGAGAGGGGCAAGCAAAAAGCCCACCGTGAAATGTTGTGTGCGGCAGCCAACTCGCGGCGACAGAGAGCAGGCTGACGTCCCATCAAAAAGATTTAAGCGCAAAACAAGATCGCCACGTGCCTCCCACACTGAAGCACCTATCGTTTCAAGTTCTTGGCATCAACGATGCACGATGTGTCAGAAACGAAACCCTCTTTGCTGTGTATCAATTCCAACTGAGGGGGAACTATCTGAGGAAACTCGACAACATACGGATGCATCTCGTGATCATTCGGATGTGACTCGGGAACTTTCGGATGCGACTGTTGAACAATCGGACAATGCGAGGTGCGTTCATCTCGACGGAAGCAAGTGCGCCTGCTCCTGTTGTACTTGCTGCTGGGCAATTGAGGATTCAGCTTATGAACTACTAGAACGATGCCTAGACTTGAATCCACACACCCGAATTACTGCTGCCGAGGCATTGGAACATGCGTTTTTCAAGAATACGCTTTAAATTTAAGTCCCCCATGAGATGGTTATCAGATCACATACATCCCACTTGCAAAGTGGAAATGCGGTATATCTTGGTGATTCAAACATAATAGGGTTTAGGACAAACCGAACGGTCAACTGGTTTAAAAGTGAACTATAAGAATCCTCCCTCATAGTTTTACTCAAGTGCATGTACAGTATTAGACTTCCCTGCTAGCAGAGGACTCTTTTACCTGGTATTCGGCAGGCGGGAGGGAGAGTGTCTTTTCCTCATCAGGGCTCGAAAAAACCTAATTTGAGCTTATCTTTTGAGCAGGCAGCTCTCACATTTTGCTTGCTCGCGGCCACTTCTTGCCCGGCTCGTCTTAGTTATTTATTATGTTGAGAGAATGACTTTTCTGGACCCTTGCCCATTGGGCAAATCATGATACGTTTCTGGGAAACTACCCACCTACCCCTCCCCTAAGCCATCATTTTGCCCTAAGTTAATGTTAGCTTAGGGGAGGGGTAGGTGGGCAGCTTCCCAGAAACGTATAGTAATCCGTTACTTCAATGCCCTGCTAGAAAATCTACTTGTCCCAGACTACCGGACGGGACTTTTTTCGAGCTCTGCCTACGCCCGCCGAATGCCAGGGAATAGAGGCCTCTACTGGCACTGGGAAGTCCTCGGCAAGTTTTAAAACACCAAATTGCAGTTTTCCATGTTTTCAGGGCATTGGTGGGTTAAAGATCGATAGCCATTTCTGGGGTTGAGAATATCTCCAATGGTTTATCAATTTAACAAAGCAAGCATGTATATATTTATTTAATCAGAGTACTATTACACCCATGACAAATATGGCACAAAGAAATTCATGACAGAGTTTACGCACCTACGTAGTTTAATTGTATACATTCGTTAATAACATCCCGTAGTTATGACTGAGATGAATTAGGAGTCCTAGAGCAAACAATTGGTTAATGACACGCGTTGGAAAAGAATCGTACATGGATTCCTGAATTTGTACTAGTATTAGATTTTACCGTATATAGTTGTATTTACTAAATAAAATAATTTATTCAGTACGTGTGTTGTTCAGATTTTCATATCAACATAACAGAAAATT